GTTAGCTTTCCAACGCATTTTGAATCGCCTCAATCGAACATCGAAATACAAAGTTATGATAAAAACACTGAAAGAAGGTGCAGCTGCCTGTTTAAAACAAGAAATTCCGTTACATAATCCGTTAAAACAACAAACTCCGTTAGTTTTTCCGTTAAAAACAAAAAATTCTGTTACATAGCCACTTTTAATATATAGAAGATATATATATATATATAGACACACACACACACTTTTGACCCAAAGACATGAATGAAATTCTATATTATTCATCGAAGAAAAATTAGATACAAAGATTTTGTTGCCTTGTTACGGTTAAAATTAGACTTCTATTTGTCATTGAAGACGGATCATAATTGAAGATAAATACCAATTACAATTGATGATCACAATGCTTCTTATGGACTGGAATGCCCCGATACCGGTTTGTTGTGAAACGGAGATGATATAGAAAAATTTCAATACCAACTTGTTGAAGAAAATACGGGATTATAGGCACAATATGAAATAAAGATCACGAGAATGCAAGAAAAATGTAATTTTGCAGAGAATGAAGTTTTATTATAATATGGAGAAAGAATACAAATCATATGTTAACAATATTTCTAACTTCTTAATAAATTATAATGAATATCAAACTATATATAGGGAACAAATAAGAGACGTCACAGCGTCGGCTCCTCTGTTTTTCTTTATGTTGGTGGCGCCCAGGCGTTCCCGTCTCTGTCCAAATACCTACCAAATGGTGCTTTTCTTCATTCTAAAGTTTTCTTGAAGTCCAACACAAATTCTTCCTTCCAATGGACTTTCATGTAGAACTTCAATTAAAATTTGTCAAGTAAACTTGAATGTGATTTCAACAATAGCATTTTAAATAGAAGTCTTTTTAATGTACACTTTAATTAGAACTCTCAATTATTTTCAACAAAGAATTTTAGTAATATCCTAATTCAAACAATGCTTCCAAAGGTACCAATTGAGAAACTTAGGAATATTATGACAATGCTTTTGAAAAGTCAAAAATTAGTTTTAAGATTAAGAAATTGCTTTTCAAAAATTAGTTTTAAGATTAAGAAATTGATTTTGAATATATTTTGATAATTTTTTAAAAGCGCTAAAATAAAGTTGGTATAAGTTAGCTTTTTAATGAAACTCCTCTGAAGAAAAACAAAAGCAGAAGTTTTATCAAACAGAAGAAAATCAAATATTGACTAATTCTTTTCTTATTGTGCCAAGATTTCATTCCAACATTATATAATTCTTTTCTCATACTGAGTGCAATTTATCTTATGCCAAAGAGTCTTAAAATTAAATCCAAATTTTAATTTAAGTTAAAGTCAACCATTAATTTCAATTATATACTTCATGGGGTTAAAACACACATTTTATCAATCTTTATCAAAATATTTACTAGCACGCACGTCTATGCTCATTTTTTAGTCTCATCATCTTATTCTTTGTTCATTATTGAAAGATTAATAGTGAGGGGAGTTGCTTCAAATCCTACTTTAATACTCATTCCCTTCCAATTATATAAGTTTGTTTCGTTTTTTACACGGATTAAGAAAATTTCTTTAACATCAGTGAAAATTTAATTTTTGTTAAGATCTTTCCTAATTTACGTATATTTAAATTTCAGTATATAAAATTAAATTATTGTTGGAATTAATAAAGAATTTGAAGAAGAAGAAGAAAAATGAGAGTTGTTCCATATTTTCAAGCAGCGAGAAATGTGTGTATTTGGATGATTTCAAAAAATTGGCATATTAAGTGGGTAAAATTTATGATTTCAAGAAATTGACATATTAAGTGGAGAAAATTTAATAAGTGTTTATTAGAAAATGAACACAACAAAATATTCTACATTAGAAAACATGTTTATATATTTGAAACAAGAGAAAAATGAAACTCAGTATATATAATTGGGATGGAGGGAGTACTATTGAAGCGTTGTTGTGAATCTCTCAGATTTGATTACTTCCATCCAGATTTAACACCTGTTTGTTGGAAATTAAAATAAAATTTTTAGTAAATTTTAATTAAAATTTTTTTGATAAAATTGTCGTTGAAAATTTTTTGGTTATTGAATCTCATAAAATATATAATTAAAATTAATTGTCAGCTTTAATTTAGATTAAAATTTAATGAGCCCGCCATTTTGGGGAAAAAAAGTCCTAATTTTTGCTAAGATCTTTTCTAATTTACTCATATTTAATTTTCAGTATGTAAAACTAAATTATTGTTAGAATTAATAAAGAATTTGAAGAAGAAGCAATGAGAGTTGTTCCATATTTTCAAGAAGTAGAAAATGTGTGTATTTGGATGATTTCAAGAAGTTGGTATATTAAGTGGGGAAAATTTAATAAGGATATATTGATAAATGAACACAACAAAATATTCTACATTAGAAAACATGTTTATATATTTGAGACAAGAGAAAAATGAAACTCAGCATATATAATTGGGATGGAGGGAGTACTGTTGAAGCGTTGTTGTGAATCTCTCAGATTTGATTACTTCCATCCAGATTTAACTCCTGTTTGTTGGAAATTAAAATAAAATTTTTAGTAAATTTTAATTAAAAGTTTTTTGATAAAATTGTCGTTGAAAATTTTTTGGTTATTGAATCTCATAAAATATATAATTAAAATTAATTGTCAGCTTTAATTTAGATTAAAATTGAATGAGCCCGCCATTTTGGGGAAAAAATGGATTTTTGTATAGTGATTTTTTTTTTTTTTAAGAATATGTGATTAAAAAGTAAGAATTTTTTTTTATTTGTGTGATTATTTTATTGGAGAATGTGTGGTTGAAAATGAATTCTTTTTTTAAAAAAAAAAGAATTTTTGGAAATATGGGACTTAAACAAAGTCTTAATCTCTATCAAACATGGGCTTAATAATTTATTTGCGCTTTCAAGAATTGAAGTTCTCGAATTCGTTAGACCACCTCCATCATAGCTAAAGTTTTGCTTTTAGTAAGAAGTTTTCGGAATTTAGATGTTAAGAACAAGCAGTTTTCGGAATATAGATGGTGACAACAAACAAATCCACACCAAAGAAACAAGGGTGTTGTAAAATATAGAAGACACTGGTAAACTTTTTAAACCCAAAATAGTTGAGTGTAATTTTATGTGTTTTTAGTGAATTTTGCAACTTCTAGTTCATATTATTATTTAAGTTGTTCAAACATATTTTTCACCTATACCTTTTACAAGATCAGACCTTTCATGCGACCTACAAATTATACTCATTATCTATCAATCCACAAAATTAATAAACACTTAAAATCACTATTAAGCTCCTGTTTGTTTGCCATTTTAAGGAAAAATATGATCGTTGGGGAGGGATTTAGCGATCATTTTTGACTAATCACTCTCATGGTGGGACCCACAAATTTAAAAAAAAAAAGTCAAAACTCATTTTTATGTAAAAATAATGTCAAACAAACAGGGGCTAAATAAGCATTGAATCTTGAAAATTGCACACGCTGACTAAGGTTGCATTATGGGATTAAATTCCTTGATTTTGACATTATGGTTGAAAATATGAATCATAATACGTGTACAATCTAGTTTGACAATATTGATTGATAATTCACATTTCACAATATCACATTCATTCATTCATTTCAAAAACTGTTTTTAAAATTAATTGTGTGAATTTTGACAACACCAACATTGTCAACCATAATTGTCAAATATGATTGTATAAATAGTATAATTGTAAAAATATTTGGTAGGTGATAAGGTGGTTAAACTAACAAACATTTCCATTGTACAAAGCTGCTTTAAAAATTAATTGTATGAATTTTGACAACATCAACATCATCAACAACTATTGTTAAGTATAATTGTACTCATTATCTTTGTAATTTACAAGGACATTATGATTTATATTCACTGTCCCACCTCACCACCAACCATTCCCAGCACTAGTGATTACCCAAAGACAAGTCATCATTACTTGACGTCATAACTTTAATGTAGGCATCATGATGAATTGCATGGCCGACCTCAACAATCAATTAGGTAATCATAATTCTAGGCGGTGACACGCATTTCTAGATCAGTACTATAGCTAAATGGACATTAGAGGTATTGTCTGATTTGTCTCCCAACCTATAAATAAGGACAAATGGTCACCTTCAAGAAAGAAAGCTAAGCTACTTAGCAGTAGACACTTCC